AGAAAAGGTCTCGCTCTGTCTCTTGGACTGGAGTGCAGTGGCACAATCATGACTCATTGCAGCCTTGACCTCCTGGGCTCAAGCGATCCTCCCACCTCAGCCTCTGGAGTACCCAGGATTACAAGTGCATGCCAATTTGGCCAAGTGCAGCTAATTTAAAAAAATTTTTAATAGAGACGGGGTCTCACTTTGTTGACCAGGCTGGTCCTTAACTCCTGGTCTCAAGTGATTGATCTTCCTACCTCGGCCTCTCAAAGTGTCGAGATTAGAGGCATGAACCACCATGCCTGGCTGCCTTTAAAATCTAACTTTATTCTATATCTATATATAGCTTTATTCTATTTTTATTTTTGTCCATATATTTTCATTATATTTTAGGGTTAGCATTTAGATTAGCGTTTTAGTAGGGAGCTGATGGGGGCAGCAGAAGCCTCAGTCTAATGGTGGAAGTTCAGGCGGAATGACTACGGTGAGGGAGAAGTTTAGAATATTAAGTATCGAGTATTTTTGTGACGACTCCATCTAAACCCTAAAAATTGCTCTGTGGTTTTCCAGATTCCCACCCTACGTCCACAGCCTTATGTAAAAGCATTGAAGAAAACTTCCAACTTTTCATCCTTCCACTCTCTCTTTCTTCCTTTTGTTCTCCTTCTCATGGTTCTTGGGAAACTAGCAGCCTCTCTGCAGCCCCTCCCTGCCCCGGCCTCAATCACTCACCTACCCACCTGCCTACAGGACCCTGACACGTGTTGTGCTTTGGACAGGTTTGACCTGCAGCTGGCCCAGGCCCTAGGCGAGTCTGTGTTTGAGAAGGGTCTCCGTGAGAAAGTGACCCAGGAGAACACCAGTGTCCGGTGGGAGCTAGGCCAGCTGCAGCAGCAGTTGAAGGTAAGAAATGGGGTGGGAGGCACAGAGCTATCTTGGCTCTTGGTGGCTGAATCTCAGGAAACTCCGCCATGCACCTGCTGCAATGGTGATGGAGAAAAAACTTCACAACAGTATCCTGGTCCGTCAAGCAGCTGGGTCCCAGTGTGTCTTAATAAGATAGCAAGCAGGGGCTGGCAAATTGATAATCAGACTTTGTTTGATCAAGCTTGATGTCTTGATCTTGCTCCAGTTACCTGCACAGGCTCCGAGGTGCCTACCTGGGAGGTATGACAGGCTCAGCAGAGAATGAGTTAGCTCTAACCTTGTCCAGGAGCGATGTCACTAAAATACAACACAGGCGCCTCACTCAGCTGCTCCTCATCCTTCTGTGGCTCCCTACTACTCCCAGGAGAACCTTGAAGCGCTTTAGCCTGGCATTCAGCTCCTTCATGATCTAGCCCAAAGTTATTTGATCCTGGAGCTGCCTTTCTCACCTGGAAGAGTCATTTCTGAGCACTTTGCCTCCCTGCTCCAACATCTCAATCCCAGCCTCAGAAGGCACACAGGAAGCTTTAGCTATGTGCCTCCACTTCCCTTACAAATGGGGTCAACCCTTCCTGTAGGTGCTCTGAGATTCATCTCTAGGGACAATCTGCTCCAATCCCACCTCCAACCCCCAACTCCATGCCTGTGTGAGCTCTACAGAGAGCAGCCCTTGCTGGTATCCCACAGGGGGTGCTGTGAGGGGCCTTGCGGTCCAGGTGGAGATGGCAGGCATTGGAAAGTGGAAAGCCTCACTCTAGCCCCAGCAGGTGTAGAGGTATCCCGGGGAGCGGGGGGAGGAGGGATGCATACTCCTGTGAGTCCCAATCTCTGTCCTCTTTGTCTCTGCAGCAAAAGGAGCAGGAAACCTTGCAGCTGAAGCAGGAGGTGGAGATGCTACAGGACCATAAACGGGAGCTGCTGGGATCACCATCTCTGGGGGAAAATTGCGTTGCTAGCTTGAAGGAGAGACTCTGGAAGTTGGAATCCAGTGCCATTGAGCAGCAGAAAATCCAGAGTCAGCAGGAAAGCACCATAAAGCAGCTGGAGCAGGTGGGAAAGCCCTGTCCTGGGCAACACCCTGTCCCATGTCTCCAAGGCAGAGTGGTGATGTTATTAAAATACAACATGGGTGCCTCACGTGGCCGCTCTTCATCCTTCAATACTCCCTGTTATCCCAGGGAACCTTTTTAAGCTCCTAAGTCTGACATTCAGACCCTTCCTGATCCAGGTCCCTCCTGCAAGGTTCAATGTCACCTCCTCAGGGAAGCCTGCCTTAATCACCTTGCAAATAGCTCCCACTGTGTTGCACTCATTTTCCATCTCCTTAGCTGGGTTGCTTTCCTTTGTGGTACCTGCCATCCTATTGGATAGTATTGTTTAGAAGTTTGCTTTATGCCTTTCTCTCTCATTAGCATATAAGCTGCATGACATCAGATTGCTTCTGTTTCTCTTGCTTCTTAGTGTAATCTAAGAGCATAGAATGAGGCCAGGTAAATAGCTGATGCTCAATAAACAGCTGTTGACCAAATATCTAATCCACTGAGTACTGTCTGTGGACTAAACTCAGCCCTAAGCTCTCCCCATGCATCTTTTCATGAATCTCCACGAGAACCTTATGTAGGGAGATCTTAGTATTATCCTCACTTTACAGATGTGGAAGTTGAGACTCAGAGACATTGGAACCTGTGGCATCTGACCCCACACTGCCTTGATTGTCTGCTATGTGCTAGGCATTGTGTGCAGCTTTGAGGCAGACTGAAGTGCTACTCTTTGGGAAAAATACAATAACCAAGGGAATAAGACAAAGATACTAAATGCTCTTGGGCCAACACCCTCTGCAAAGTACCAGATGAATATTTTATTTGTCTGCTTGATTATTTATATGCATATTTACCTCATTCTATAAATAATTTGAAGCAGCTTACAAGATATATGTATAACAGAATACAAAAATTATAAATAAAACAATCCAAACCAGAAAAGTACAAATTAAAATATACACAAAGGGGGTGAGTGGGGGCAGCAAATTAATATGCAGATGAAGCAAAACATATGGTCTTACGTACATAACAGTTGTAGCTCTAAAATTCCTGGTGGCCAGAGAGAAAAAGGAAAAGTGACTTACATGCTTCTTATGATCCCTGAGATTTAAAAAAAAAATTCTAGGGGAAGGATGGCTTTTTCTGATGCTTGCCTCGAAATGAATTTCTCATGTGGGATTTTGTAAAAGGCACTTATTTTTAAGTGTGTGTGTTTTCTTTAAATGCTGGGGCCATCCATATGCAAGAAAATCTGACCAAGTGGCATACATTTGTAAAGCAGATGAACTCTGAGCAGCTCTGTTGAACTGAAGAGGGGATGGGTGGGAGAGGGGTTGTGGGAGCCAGGGATCAGCTCTTGCTTCTTGTCAATTGCTGCTCCACCAAGATGGAGCCTAGTGAGTATCAAAACATGTGGGTGGTACATGTGGAGGAACAGGGTCCAAAAAGTCTTGGATGCTCATTAAGGAGCAATAAAGGAGACAAGCCCTTTACTCAGTCAGCCTGTATGTATTAAGTACTTCCTCTGCAGCACGCACTCTGCGGTTGCTTTGGGTGCAATTTCAAATAAGACAGACACAGTCTGTGCCCTCCCAAAGTTTACAGTCATGCTTAGTGTTAGGGGAATGTTAAACTTGAAGATCCGGTCATGGAAGCGGGGTTTGGGGGAGAGATCAGGGAAAACTTCCTGGAAGAAGTGACGTTTACTGAAGTGGAAAGCTGGAAGGTGATTCAGAGTTGGATAAATGAGAGTTCCAGGCAGTGGGAACAGCCTATGCAAAAGTCTGGAGACAGGATAGTCACGGGATATTCAAAGAGCTGTAATACTTGGTCTTTGAGACAGCTTGTTACCTTATTTATGACCCTGTTTTCTCCAGACGTCAGTTTCCTCATCTGTACAATGAAATATGGAGCCTTATTGCTTCCTTAGCTTCCTGCCAACCACAGCTATGAATCAGTGAAGGTTGGTGAAGAAGGTGGAATATCTGTGTAGGTCTTTAAAGGGCATGGATGACGGTGCAGTGCCATATAGTCACCCACTATTCCTTGTGTTCCTTAAATGAGCAGGATCTTCACAAAGCCAAGAATAAAACAAGCCCTTTTGAAAACTGTGTTAACTCTTTGAGAGACCAGTGGTGGACCACTTGGTGCTTGGAAGCAGAAATGTGCTACCATGACCTCAGGGACCCAAAACTTAATTCAGCTTCCCGAATTTCCATGCTCAGTTCACCCAGGAGGTGAGGCTGACTCAACACTTTCATCACTTCACGCATAACCTCAAGCTGCATTGTGCCCTTGTAGACATCCAGTAGATATTTATTGATTATAATACAGCACTTTTTCCAGGGAATTTTATGTTAACTCATATAAGTTTGACATAAATGGTATTGCAGATGTCAAGAATGTCCAAGAGGCTAGAAAAAATGAAAAAGAAATATTATATTTACTTGCTCAGGCTCCTTGGTTTTGGATTATCTTCCCATAACCCTTGTCATTTTAAAGGGATAAAAGGCAAGAAGTTGACATTTAAAGTGAGCCTACTTTATGCCAGGAACTGTAGCAGGGCTTCTGACATACACTACCCGTTTTGCTCCTCACCATGGCATAGCAAGGAATGTTATTGACATTTTAAAAGACCCAGATTGTTTTTTCTGAACTTAATTTCCATGTTGGGGACAGCACTTGTGAAGTTCAAGAAGCTTGGTGAGGCCCGGCACGGTGGCTCACGCCTGTAGTCCCAACACTTTGGGAGGCTGAGGCAGGTGGATCAGAAGGTCAGGAGATCGAGACCATCCCGGTCAACATGGTGACACTCCGTCTCTACTAAACAAACAAACAACAAAAAACAACTAGCTGGGCGTGGTGGTGGTGGCACATGCCTGTAGTCCCAGCTACTCAGGAGGCTGATGCAGGAGAATCACTTGAATCTGGGAAGCAGAGGTTGCAGTGAGCCGAGATCATGTCCAGCCTGATGAGTCTGTCAAAAAACAAACAAGCAAACAAAAAACCAAAAAAACCCAAAGGCTTGGTGAGAGGTGTTGTAGAGTAAATCATCAGAAAGTTACCATTTCTAAAATGTAACCCATTGTATTAGTCTGTTTTCATACTGCTGTAAAGAACTCCTTGAGACTGAGTAATTCATGAAAAAAAGAGGTTTAATTGACACAGTTCTGCATGGCTGGGGAGGCCTCAGGAAACTTAACAATCCTGATGGAAGGGGCAGCCAGCAAGTCTTACATGGCTGCAGGCTAGAGATAGCATGTGAAGCAGGAGCTGTCAAACACTTATAAAACCATCAGATCTTGTGAGAACTCATTCACTGTCATGAGAACAGTACAAGGGAAACCATGCCCACCCACTCCACCCATCACACCCC